AATTTATACAAATATTCCATAAATCTCTAGTTCTGTATAAAATGCTTAATATTCGAAATGGTGAACACACATCGCAATATTTTTAAGCACAATATATAAATGTCAAGGCAAACAGATACTTACTGCCGAAACCAATTTTAAATTTGTGTTTCTCTTATATATGTTATGGACCAGGTGATTAATGCGGGCATTATTAATAATGTGCGAGCATTATGAATAATGTCTAGCTCTATTGGGCTAAGTGATTAATTACTATCTAAACTTCATTATTTATCACATTGCACGGTCATTATTATATTGCTACGTGACCATTGGGCAATTTGATAATAAAGTTAAATTTGACACGGTGCGGGGAGGGAAGCACGAGTCTGATTGCTTAAACTTTAGTTTATTTTATGTTTCATAATAATATGTCAAAACTTCTATAAAACAATGATATGTTGTGAAATGTTTGTTTTAAATTTTATATGTTTTGTGTTACGTATATTTTTAATACGACTTTCCTTAAGTTGTAAATGCAGAAACTAGTGGATTCTTAATGTAGAAGTCCTTGCTAATTAATCCAAATGAGTCTGATTATTTAAATTGTTTAACATTTAGTTTATTTTAAGTTAAATGACAATAATAATAAAAAAATAGTAATTAAATATGTTTATATTACTCTGCCCAAAAGGTGATGGACAATATGTATAATGCCCGGTCAATTTGATTATTTGAATAATTATTATCAAATTGCACACTCATATTGGGCATTTTACATAATGACCGGGCATTATGTATAATGCCCGATTTATCACTTGGTCCATAACATATACACAAAATGTATTAACTCTTCCGTTAAGAATTCGAAAAAATAAATATTATATTTGAATGCTCTGAATTCAATCATCGAAATAACTTTTTGAAGAAATATATAGGTACCCTTATTCTTTATCGCGATGGATCTCTCTCTCTGTCTAGCACATACAAAATGGCATCTATATATAGAAAAAAGAAAGTAGTTAATGTTTTGTCTAAAAGGACGTGACTATTGTTTTAATATCTCCGTCGTCCCTTCTCTATACAGGGTGGTCCGAATTTTATGCAGGAAACTTCGAGGACAGATAGATCTCTTTAAAATAATAGTTTGCCTTATAAACATAAGTCTGGAACGGCCTCGTTTTAGAGATACAGGGTGTTGAAGTTGTTAAAAAAAATTGATGTTTTGTTTATATCTCCGAAATCTCTTAACCGATCTTAATAAAATTTGGTATAAATAATGTACGATAGTAGGCCTTGCATTCCCTAAAATATGAGCCCTAAGGATTTAACCAGTGGTGTACAACTGGACAGGGGTCACCCCCTTTGTATTAAAAAAACCTACGCCATAGTATTTTTTAAGTTAAGTTATTATAACGGGTTTATATTCTAATGCACTAAATATGTAAAAAAAGTGACTTGAATTTTTTCCTTAAGGTTCACCATTTTCAAGTTATTCACACAAATACAATCCCCTTGTGGCAGACACTTCAAATCAGAATATTTCAAAAATATTTTTGTTTATGCTTAAAAGTAAGTGCAATTTGTAAGCACATCAACAAAATTCTTTCCACATCACTTGTGAGGTAGTGTTCCTGGTGTGTTTTAGTTTTCTCTGGAGGCATTATCTTTACAAATAAGAACAATTTAAATCAAAATAATAATAAAAAATACATTTACCAAGCAACAACAACTAAACAAGAAACAAAATTAACGTTACGTATTTACGCAATTGTTTAAAATGCGAACCACCCACTTCGATACATTTCTGATATCTTCTATTAATGGAACTAATTGAAGCTAATATCATGTGGTGGTTTTCTTTTAATGCATTACATCCGTCTTCTATTCGCTGCAGTAGTTGTGATCTAGTATCTATTGGAGTAAAGTTTTCAGGTAGGTCACCCCAAACATAGAAGTCCAAGGAGTTTAGATCTGGCGATCTGGCTGGCCAAGACACTGGACCCTCTGCACCAATATGGTTGACATTAGTATTTGGTCTTCTACCTATCCACCATCTCATATAATTTTCATTAAGCCATTGTTGTATTATTCTCCTATTTTGTCGTATATTTAATCTAACATTCTCTAATAATTCAAATAGATGGTTTTCTAGAAAGTTTAGAAATGACTCCGAATTTCATGAGGATTTTCTTGTGACCAATTATTCAGATTGTGAAAATTCACTACCCTTCGCCTTGTGAACGTAGCCTCATCGGTCCAAAGTATTTCTAGTAAGAATTCAAACAACCACTGATAAAAATTCAGGCGTCTCTGCATCTCCCGGAAGTACTCACCCCAAGTTGCCGAGACGTTCTTCGTGAACCTATTTAGCCGAGGATTGTCGTCAAATGTTTTTAAAATTTCATTTCTGTGTCTTTCATTCCTTTGTCGAGATTTTCCAAATATTGTTTTAATCCAAAAAGATGAAAGCGATGAGTGTAAAGATTTGTTGATGTGCTTACAAATTGCACTTACTTTTAAGCATAAACATAAATATTCTTGTAATATTATGGTTAGAAGTATCTGCCACAAGGGGATTGTATTGGCATGAATAACTTGAGAACGGTGAACTTTAGGGAAAAAATTTAAATGACCTTTTTTATGTATTTTGTGCATTAGAATATAAATTCGTTACGATAACTTGTAAAAACTACAGTGGCGTAGGCTTTTTTATAAAAAAGGGCGTGACTCTGTCCTGTTGTACACCACTGGTTGAATCTTTAGAGATCATATTTTAGGGAATATAAGACCTACTATCACACATTATCTGTACTAAATTTTAATGAAATCGGTCTATGGATTCCAGAGATATGAACAAAAAATATATTTTTTTTCACAACTTCAACACCCTGTATCTCTAAAACGAGGCCGTTCCAGACCTATGTTTATAAGACAAACACCTACTATTTTAAAAAGATCTATCTGTCCTCGAAGTTTCCTGCATAAATTCGGACCACCCTGTATAAGAAGAAAAACTAAAACATGTTTAAAAATAACAAGATACAATAATTCATAGATACTTTGCCTTGACATTCATCGTTATTTGTTTCTTATTCAATAAGCGTAACTCAAAAAATGTAGGTATTATAAGATAAGTCTGGAGATATGAATCATAAATTTTGTATAATGTCGTTAACCATAAGGTTATTTTTATATATTAACACCTGATTAACAGACGATTCACTTTGACAGAGTTCATAGTCTTAAACCAACGAAAGTCGAGTTGTTATCTTTTTATTCCACTGTGCAGTAAGGTTATTTTAGACTAAAAATATAATAATTATAACAAATAAAAGTTATCATAACATAACAAATAAAGGTAATTTGATTTTAGAATAAAATTTAAATACAATTAGAAGTTAAATGAACCCAGCGAATTTAAAAAATATTCAGTGGCTTCGACATTATTTTTTGTCGTTTAATTCATTAGTAAATAAACGATAAAAAGCTTGTTTTAACTACTCATATTCCTATAATTTTTTTATTACAGCAACATAACCTTACTGAAGCGTATTTAATTTTAGTAAAAGTTTAGTAAAATAAACTCAAACTTACTTTTGTCATAGTCGCATGTAAAAAAGTGCCTGTAGAATATTTAAACCATTTTATGATATCTAGTGTAAAAAGGGAGATTGTAATGTTATGTCAATTTTGTCGAAAATTAAGAATCGCTTTGTAGTTTGTAAGCGGTAAAAGATACCACCCTGTATATCTCTCCGCCACCTATCCCCAAATTCACAAATGACTGAAAACCGCTACAGCCATCCCACCTGCATATTAACAACGTCCTACCAAGTCATTGTTACAAACGTTCCCTTATTTGCCTTTGAAAACTATATGTTAATCCCCTTACCCTATGTGCCTTGGAAAACTTACTCAACATTCACCTATAAAACACTTCAATTCGACGCAGAAAAGTCCAACCTATACAACGACACCAAAATCACTCGATCGGACCACCCCTGCGCGCAGCGGTTGCCACCGAACGTTTGTTACACTTTGACAGCTTATGCCCTTCTATAAGCATAGACGGTGATTCAGAACAGAAAAAAAATGAAAACAATTGAATGTTAGAGGATTCTTAAAAATACAATCTTGTAAAAAAAGACAAAAACAGTAGTTCGAAAATGATTTAAAAATACACTTCTGTACGGCACTGGAGACTGGTACATGACCGGACAAAAAATTGAAAGAATTTCTTTCCCAAGGCAAGAAATAAATAAGAGTTTATAACACCTATTTTATCAGCAAATTCAACTGCTTTTACCGCTATTGTTGCTATTAATTAATAAAATTAATTTGTGGTTTTAAAAAAAATAATAATTTGACATATCCATTGTTACAACAATTATTCAAAATTTTGTCCACCGACGTGTAAACACATTTGGATCCGTCTCACCCAGTTTCTACGAACTGACGCAAATCTTCACTTCTTACTTCACCATAGCGGAAATATTTCACCATAACACAAATGTTGTCTTGCTTCACCATAAATTAAAACGATATCCATCAACTCCGAGTTGCTATACACGTAAGCTTTTTTGGACACTTGAAAAACTAATGTAAACACTATCGCAAAAACGTTACTACCAACATCGGATTTCAGTATTCGAAATCGCCTAGGACCACGTGGGGAGGGAAAGCGCATTGCGCACAGCGCACAGTGCGAATGACGCTAGAGACTGTAGTAGCCCAGCGATGTAAAGGTTGAAAATGCACAACTTTAATAAATGTTTTCTCGGAAACTTTAAAGATTTTACAAAAAATTTGTTTACGATATTGTCTCCATTTTTCATGACGCATATATTCCCAAATTTTTTGGATAAGTTGTGAATCACCCTGTACATGTTTTCCTAACATCTAGCGTTACACTACCGATTCCTTAAACACGTCCAATGTTAAAATATTCTCCTCTGTGTACTGAGCAAAAAAATCTATTTTGGCATGATTGTTTTAAATATCTTTCTTTTTTGTTCCAGGGTGACTACATATGGATAGAGCCGATCTCGGGAAATGAGTTCGACGTGGCTATCGGGGCCCGCGTGGTCTCTGCCGAGGGTCGACGCATCGCGGTGCGCGATGACGACGGCCACGAGCACTGGTTGTCGCCAGAGCGCCGTATCAAGGCCATGCACGCCACCTCCATCCACGGCGTCGAGGACATGATCGGCCTGGGGGACCTGCACGAGGCCGGCATCCTACGGAACTTACTCATCAGATACAACGAAAACCTTATCTACGTAAGTGGATACTAGTGAAAAGTTGCGTAAATTGTACCCTCATTTAAATGTTACTACCTACCCTTGGTCCCACTGGGGGTGTAACCCAAAGACGGTATTCAACAAAAAATATTTTGAATTTTGAAAGGAAGTAGGAAACAAATCACATAAAAAGAATACAAGGCACTGGTTTTGTTAAAATTTTTATCTGGGGGGGGGGCGACTTAATAATGTACAAATAAAATCTTAACCGAACTCCAACCATTGTGAGGTAGGGCGAGACCTACGAGCATCCAACCCGATACACCGTTTTTGCTGAGATTGCGATGTCCCCCGAGAGGATGACATTGTAATAATTATCAACCACTCAGCATAGTGCCGTATGCAAAAGGATGTCACCGTTCCTTTGAACCTTTACAATCACGACCCAACAATTTTGCCAACTAAAGCTTTTACGTATATCGTGTTCTAGAAAAAAAATATAAAATAATTTTTAATAAAAACTGGTTTGATCTTTTCATATTAAACTTTAAAAATTCTTAGTTAGACCAGCCGGTATCTGTTTTGGTTTGGGTGAATCATATATCCACGGAAATTTTTGGCTTTCAAATATCACTAGAGATGAAAATTTTTCTATGCGCATAAAAAAAACGTAGGCTTAACTTTTGGCGGCACAAAGAAATTCGAAAAATGTCATATTTTTCTTCTTATTTAATTATGTAACTTTTCAAGAGTTGATTTTAGGCGAAAATGGAAGAGGAAAAAAATATTTGTAATTAATTTTTTTACAAAACATGACTAGTTACAAATCGAATGAATCATGATTATTATGGTAAAAATCGAAAAAATCGCAAAAATGGGGTTAAAAAACAATACTTTTTAGGGATTTTTTTGGGGTATTTAAATTGGTTATAGGACCTTCATACTTGGCTCAAGAAAACTTCATGTTATGTAGAATCATCACACCAAATTTCATCAAAATCGGTTGGATAGATTTTGCATTATAATTTTGCAATCCTGATTTTGAAAAAAAATTTGCAAACTTTCAAAATTTTGCACAGCAAAAACCAAGGCCCTTAGACACTTTTTGAAAAATTCGAATTCGTCAATTAGGAGAGCTCTGGCGCTTGTTTAATGAATTTTTGTACTTATAAACAATTAGAATAACTTCAACCAAATCAATTTTTTTAAAGCAGGTTTTAAAAGTTATTGGAAAGACGCTTCTTTAAAAAAAACAGATCGATTGATCAATTAGTTATGTAGTTATAGCCGATCAAAGTTAACCGTCATTTACACTGAATGTACTGGGACATCCGGGCTAATTTTTCGAAAAATACCTTTGGTATTCCGAGTATTTACTTAAGTTTGCAATACTTTTCTTCATGGGCAACCTACTTTTGAACGTGTTTAAAGTTATTTATTCAAGCGAGAAATTCAAGAAAATCGTACGGGTGGTGGTGGTGGGAGAAGCAGAGAGCCCTGCCGCTTCGGCCTGCTCGAAATTGAATCGGCGAGTTGAAAACCGCGACATTTTTAATATCTCAGTTTCTAGAGGTCCGATTTTGATGATTTATTTTTAAATCGATGTCTCACCTGTTAAAAGAATGTGATTAAATTTTAAAGTATCTAAGGGCTTTGGTTTTTGCTGTGCAAAATTTTTTGATTTTTGCTGTGCAAAATTTTGAAAATTTGCAAATTTTTTTTTCAAAATCTAGATTGCAAAATTATTATGCAAAACTGTCTAACCGATTTTGATGAAATTTGGTGTGATGATTCTACATAACATGAAGTTTTTTTTAGCCAAGTATGAAGGTCCTATACACAATTTAAAGACCTCAAAAAAATTCCCTAAAAAGTAATGTTTTTAACCCCATTTTTGGCGATTTCGATTTTTACAATAATAATCATGATTCGTTCGATTTGTAACTAGTCATATTTTGTAAAAAATTTAATTACAAACATTTTTTCCCTCTTCCATTTTCGCCTAAAATCAACTCTTGAAAAAATACATAATTAACTAGGAAGAAAAATATAACATTTTTCGAATTTTTTTAACATATTGTGCCGCCAAAAATTAAGCCCACGTTTATTTTTATGCGCATAGAAAAATTTTCATTTCTAATGATATTTGAAAGCCAAAAAGCCAAAAATCTCCGTGGATACACGATTCACCCAAATATGGACTTTTTGAAACAGATAACCTGGACCTGGACTATAGTTATTAATTACTAAAATCTCCATATTTGACAATACCACTGAATACTTTTCGGTGTTTCTGCAGAACTAGAGTTGGTATGTCGAAAATCCAACGTGGTGGGTAAGGGAGGTCGGTGTCAATTGTAACAAAAATTGTAACAACCTTTTTGATGCCTACAGTGTTTTACGTAACTTCTTGTAAATGTTATTAGACATGCTTACCAGATTTGGCCTTGAATTAATTGAAAATTATTATGTTTGCAGTTGTGAAACAGAAATATGTTGAAGGAACTTTGACATTATTATATTTCTTGCCAGTTTATCAGTCATTAATTTAATTTTCCATATATTTGTAAGTTTTTCCTCCTTAGGGTAAAGGATAAAAGTTCTGATATGTACAGGGTGGGCAAATAAGCGAGGTAAGCGGCTGTATCTCAGAAACTAATGATCGTAGAGAGCTACGGTAAAAAATTTTATAGGTAAAGAGGGCAAGGGAAAATGCTGGAAATTATTTTCAAGTTTCCAAGATGGCCGCCAGTGGGCGTTTCCACCATCTTGAATTACATAAAGTTACGTTTCTCGCGATTTTCCCCAATGAATGTAACAAAAAAGTATTTGCGTTTTAATGTTAACTTAAAGTCGAATATTTTTTGTAAAAACAATTTTTCTCTATCTTTCGAAATAAAGTGGTGGGGGGTATTTGAATGTTGTTTTAAATAAATGCCTGTAACTTCGAAACGGCTTAATGGATTTGGATAAATTTGGTATCATTGAAAAGAGCATTTCTTGGGCTTTTAGGTTTCTCGTAATCATGACAGTTGCGACCTACACGGCCGCCGATAGAGGGCGTTATTCGATATTATAACCAAAATATTGGATTTTCTCAAAAAATTTAAATGCGATGATATGACTTTTTTTAGACTAGAAAATAGACAAATGACCAACCAATAAGCCTGCGCAAACCGCATCTTAATATCTTTTTCCTAACTCAAATTATTAAAAAAAATACTAAACCAGGAAAATTCATATATCCCCATTTAAAAATGCATCGGTTGCTTTCGATAAGAAGGCAAGTAGTAGGCCATGGAAATAAAAGACAAACTCCTCTCTAAAATATTCACAAGAAATGTCAGTTTATTTAGTGCTGTGATTTTAAGTCGCACGTTTTCGTATTTATAAGCGATTTTCCTTTTAAATAAAGTTGTGGTCCTGAAAAGGACCGATTTTGAAAAAAGATTAATGCCTTCTGTGTTCAAATTGCCTTCCGTCATATTCCACACATTGTTCCAGTCTTTCTTGAGTCGACAGAACCGCAGCCTCGATTTCTACCGCTGATAGTTGACGAATTGAGTTTCGAATTCTGTTTTCCATATCCATTCGTGTTGTTGGTGGAGTTTGAAAAACAATGTCTTTTAAGCGTCCCCACAAGTAAAAATCAAGACATGTCAAGTCCGGAGATCTTGCCGGCCAAGGAAATAGGCTTCCCCTTCCTATCCAGCGTTCTCGAAAGGTCCCGTTAATATGGTTTCGGACATTAATTGAATAATGTGCCGGACAACCATCTAATTGCAGAAACATAGTTCTCCTAGTTTCGAGTGGCACATCTTCCAACAAAATTGGCAAGTCGTTGATCAAAAACTCTAAGAAGCGGTTACCAGTTAAAGCTTGATCAAAAAAATAAGGTCCAATAATTCTGTCCCCAATGATACCGCACCACACATTTAGGCTCCAGCGTCCCTGGTGCTGCACTTCTCTTAACCAATGCGGATTTTCAGCGGACCAATAATGCATATTATGACGGTTTACTCTACCATCACTACTAAAGGTAGCCTCGTCGGTCCAGAGAATTTCCGTTAAGAAATTTCTGTTTTCCTCAAGCATGCCTAGCATCCATTGACAATAATTTAATCTATTATCGAAATCTTGTTCATTTAGCGCCTGGTGCAAAACTATGTGGTAAGGATGTAATCTAAAAGTAAAAAACAACATATGCGTAAAAATAATATAATCAGAATAACACTGAATTGTGTATTTGAGAGTATGTGCTAAGATACTTGGAATAAGATAAAATTATTTACCTATAATCTTTCAAAATATTTCTAACAGTTGTTCGTGCTATTCCCAAGTCTAGAGACAATGTTCTAGTTCCTACATGTCTATCAAATTCTATGTAAGCCAAGACATTGATAATGTTTTCTTCGGTCCTTCCATTGCGACGCCTGCGACGTTTAGGACGACGAAAACTTCCAGTATCGCGTAATCGCTGTACCAAGCGCGGAAACATTCTTCTCCCGTAATGACGGCGATCTGGATACCGTGCCGCGTACTGTCTTGCAGCTATAGCTGCATTTTGAAAACACTCGAAATAAATCGCAATCATGTCAACGGCTTCATTATTTGTGAGAGGCATTTTGATTAAAAAGTACTCAAATTATACGCAATCAACAATATTAGGCTGCGTGTGACAAAAGTTTGACGTTACTTGGCAATATTTTTGTTAGGCGATTGTCGTGTCCATGGCCTACTACTTGCCTTCTTATCGAAAGCAACCGATGCATTTTTAAATGGGGATATATGAATTTTCCTGGTTTAGTATTTTTTTAAATAATTTGAGTTAGGAAAAAGATATTAAGATGCGGTTTGCGCAGGCTTATTGGTTGGTCATTTGTCTATTTTCTAGTCTAAAAAAAGTCATATCATCGCATTTAAATTTTTTGAGAAAATCCAATATTTTGGTTATAATATCGAATAACGCCCTCTATCGGCGGCCGTGTAGGTCGCAACTGTCATGATTACGAGAAACCTAAAAGCCCAAGAAATGCTCTTTTCAATGATACCAAATTTATCCAAATCCATTAAGCCGTTTCGAAGTTACAGGCATTTATTTCAAACAACATTCAAATACCCCCCACCACTTTATTTCGAAAGATAGAGAAAAATTGTTTTTACAAAAAATGTTCGACTTTAAGTTAACATTAAAACGCAAATACTTTTTTGTTACATTCATTGGGGAAAATCGCGAGAAACGTAACTTTATGTAATTCAATATGGTGGAAACGCCCACTGGCGGCCATCTTGGAAACTTGAAAATAATTTCCAGCATTTTCCCTTGCCCACTTTACCTATACATCTTTTTACCGTAGCTCTCTACAATCACTAGTTTCTGAGATACAGCCGCTTACCTCGCTTATTTGCCCACCCTGTACATACAATATTGTTGCACTACGACAGTGAACGATATATTTTTGACTGGCTACATATTATAAATAAACTGTCAACTATGTTTTTTTCGAGGCTACTAAAGAATACTGCCAGTAAAACGTAAAAATATTCAAATATAAAGCCATAAAAATGGAAGCTTATCTATTAGAGTGACTTTAAATTAATATAATAGATGTCGCACCCTTCGTTGTTCTCGCGAGTACTCGTTATAACAAATTAATTGAGTTAATTTCAAACATTTTTTCTTATGAACATGTCCGATTCGTTTTAGTTTAGGAACATTTTAAAACATATAATTTCATATTTCAACCAAAGTAGCCTAATAAATAAAAATGATGGTGGAATATTAATTATTATTTGTGTCATTTTGTTGATTCATTCGCCACTTGATCATTTCCCGAATATGTGGATAGGTCAACAAGGTCCAATAGCTTGACTACCCCGTTCTCCAGATGTAAATCCTTTGGACTTTTATTTATGAGGACATATGAAGCAGCTTGTCTACCATGTTGAAATTACTACCCTCCAGTAGTTACTTGAAAGAATTCAGGATGCAGCTACCAGATAAGAAATTATTCAAATCTCATCCGTTGAGTGACGGAATCTTTAGTTCGTCGATGTGAGGCTTGCATTTGAATCGAGAGTGGACATTTTGAACAATTTTTATAAACTTCAGAATAGATTTTTTGAAGACTAGACTGTGATGGAGCAAATCTGACATTGGATTCGGATTCAGAAGGTAACAATACGTCCGAAAACATATGCCGCATGTCAAAATCTCGTCACTTCTCAAATTTCGCCCTTTTTCTGAAGATCTTCAGCGATTTTTTGAAGACTGGAGAGTTATGGAGTAATTCTGATAACGGATTTGGTTCCAGGAGGTAAAATTACATCGAAAAACATATGTCACGTGTTAAGATCTCGTCACTTCCTAAATTTCTCCATTTTCAGATATTCAGTGATTTACAGAAAACTGAAGGGTGATGCAACAAAACAGACTATGGATTCTTGTTCAGGAGACAAAAATACGCAGGAAATCATATGCGGCATATAAAGTTCACATAACTTTTTTTTTTGTTGGCTGTTGCAATTATTTTTATATCATTTTTAATTATCAGACTACTTTGATTCAAATATGAAATTATATTTTTTAAAATGCTTGTAACTTCTAAACAAAAACGAATCGGACGTATGACCATATAAGAAAAAATGTTTGAAATTAACCCAGCTACCATCTGCCAAAGTTTGTCATAGAGCTTGTAGAACACCCTGTATATAATTTAAAATAGGGCCTTAGTGGAAAAATACTTAACAAAAATCCAATAAATACAAATTATTTACTGAATTAGTATTAAATTTATGTATTTAAATGTACGCGTGTACGAGTACTTGTAGATCAATATTTCTTTCCATTGCAGACCTACACGGGTTCCATCTTAGTCGCTGTCAACCCCTACCAAATCCTGCCCATCTACACGGCCGACCAAATCAAACTCTATAAGGAGCGGAAAATCGGTGAACTACCTCCCCACATCTTCGCCATCGGAGACAACTCCTACGGGCACATGCGCCGTTACGGCCAGGACCAGTGCATAGTCATATCGGGCGAATCGGGAGCTGGAAAAACTGAGAGCACGAAACTGATCCTTCAATACTTAGCTGCGATCAGCGGGAAACACTCCTGGATAGAGCAGCAGATCCTGGAGGCCAATCCTATTCTGGAGGCCTTCGGCAACGCTAAGACTGTGAGGAACGACAACAGTTCTAGGTTTGGGAAATACATTGATATTCACTTCAACGTGAACGGGGTCATAGAGGGGGCTAAGATCGAACAGTATTTACTCGAGAAGAGCAGGATCGTATCTCAGAATCCCGAAGAGAGGAACTACCATATATTTTATTGTCTCCTGGCGGGGCTGGGGAAGGATGACAAGAGGAAGTTGGAGCTTGGGGATGCCAGTCAGTACAGATACCTCACGGGGGTAAGAATATGTATTTATTCTCATAATTTATAGATTTTTTTTCTGATGTATACTATTTCACATTCTTAAATAATACATGTATATAGAATTCAACAGCGACATTGCGATAAATTCTCAGAACTCTCGTCAAACAGAAAAAAAATAAGCGTAACATTAGTTCTGAAAACGGTTCTTAAGGAATCTAAGATCTCTTAAATATGGGAAGAGAGACACAGTTTTTGATTAATTACAAATGAACATGCAAATTTCAAATTTAATACGGTATTCCCTGATAGTAAATTTCTTCATGGTTTTAAACGAAAACTCAGAAGTACCAAATGAAGATCTGAGGAGTTTGAACTGTCAAAATAAAGAGATCTTCAATTTCCATGTACCTACTTGTTCATTCAAAATTTTTCAGGCTCTTGAGTTTTTTAGCGTAGAATATACGGTCTACATCCAAAAATCATGGTTAACACATCGTAGGTTAAGACTTCTTCACATTTCGAGAGACGTAGACTTCAGAACAAACTTTGACATGGAGATTGAGTTCTCTGGTCAGTATTTATATTTGTATTCACTGCTTGGTGGCATTCTGGTGGGTGGTTTCAAGTAACTGACCTGTGACGTTACGGATTTTGTGAATTTTGATTTTGATGGATTCGTATTGCTGTATCGAACTTGCAGCATGTATTAGGATATGTTAATCCTGTCTTCCTTGAGGTACTAATCAGTATTAATAAAATATCGTCTATCTTGTCAGTACCTTCTTGTGATCTAGTTCTTCATCTAACTCTGCTGGGTCACAGATGGTACGTGCTCGATGCACTAAATTTGTTGATTATATCGCCTAGTTTCTGGGTCGGATGGTGACGAGATTGAGAGAGGTATCCATCCGTATCATCTGGTTTTCTGTGCCCTAGGATTCCATCCGGTTTTCTCCTGACAATATGTCAGATCGTTAACATATCTGAATCAACATTTTAAATTTTTGACTTGTTCTCATGAAATCGTTCCTTAAATGAGAAGAAAATATAAAAATGTTCATAAGAGGGGCTTATGAACATTTTTACGCTAAACTCTCATCCTTGTTTTCTGAGCACATTCAAACTTCATTCGAAACTTATGACAACATTAAGCGCTCGTCAACAATAAGTCATAAATAAGAATCAATTATTTTGCTCTAAGTTCTCAATAAATAAGGATGCATAATAGTGAAAAGAATGAATCTGTTCACGATACTACGTACATACTACCACATTCAACGAGCAAGTGCGAATTATAGGAAAAGAGAGTAAAATGGTAAAAAAACAATATTGACCCAAAACAACGAAATTTGAAGAAAAAGAAATAGAAACAAAAAATAAAAACCATGTAGAAACAATAAATATAACAAATAAAATTAAGGAAGTACATACATTATTGGCACTCATTATCTGTGTTGTGGCTGAATCCAACCGTGATTCAATTTCACTCAAAAGGTTCAAGAATAGAACCCTGCGGAACTTCCAAAGTTAAGCGATTTAACCTCTAAAATTTTGACAAATTGAGATCTGCCGAACAAATATGACGTTATAAACTTCATCAGCGAAAAGCAAAACCCAATAAAACTAATTTAAATTCTAATAAATAACTTGTGGTCAAGACTGTCGATTGCTTTTAAGAAGTCCGTATAAATGACATCTACTTGACCTCCTTTATCAATGAGCTCATCGATATGCTGTGTTATACTACAGACTAAATTAGTGGCCGTTGATCGTCTATATCAAGCCATGCTGTTCAGAGAAAATAATAAAGCGTTAAACAATTTTATTGGATTTACACAATATTGCAGTAGGTCGATAATTTATGACATCATTTCTATTATTTATGTGTAAGATAATATATTAAATTAAATACAGGGTGTAAGAAGTTTGACTGGCATTACTTCAGCATGTAATTATACATGAAGTTATATATTACTGGGGTGTAAGATTAACAGTTTTTGTATTATACAGCGAGTATTAATATTGGGGAGTTTCATCACAACGTGACAACAGCGCTTAACCTGGTGACCTGTACACGCGGCAGACTTGTCCTACGGAAAAAATGTAAACAGCTATTATTGTGGAACATTTAATAGATTTCAAGACAATTGTTTTCCAGTTTTTAAATAAATAATATAAATTGTATCGATTTTGTAGTACGATGATGGTGTTGTGCTTAAATTTTAGCTCGAATTTTGGTAATTATGAACCTTTTAAAGCAGGAACTTAACTTTTAATCAAATTACATATTTGAAAAATATGTAATTAAAGTACCCATAGATTCACGTCGTCCAAATAATCATACGTATTAAAAATAATTTAGGTACGTACCAAAAAGCAAAATTCAATAATTTTTACACGCACAAATACAAAATAAAATATAACATATGCTCAAACGACACCTTCGAATCCAATTTTCGCGCACTCGCTGGAAAACACCTCAAGAAAAGGAAATAGTGGCACTCAAAAAACACTCCGACACGGTCGAATCCAGATACCAACTGCATTGCGTATTGGTGGTTGCTGGACACCTTAGTACCTCCTGTTAATACACTGCCGCGCCGTTGTCACATTGCTCGATATGAATTTTATCGAATTTTAAATTCATTACAATGCCAATTATTTTTTAGAATTAAGCATAAAGAAGTTCAATAAACAATGTATTTTATGGTATTCTATACACGCAGTTATGTCAATATTCCTTAATTAATCGAACTTTTGTACATCAAGTTGGAGATTTTGAATTTTTTCTCGTAAATGGTTGAGTTTATGACCCATGTCATATAAGATTTTTTTGTTTATTTTAATGTATTCTATTGTCTGTTATAATTAAGGCAGTCAAACTTCTAACACCCTGTATAACGTGAAGAAGTTCTATGAGAATCGCAGCATAATCTATTATCAAAAAGGTATGTATCAGTAGAGGCTCAATGGTCATTTTAGGTTTTATTTGTCTAGTATAATTAAGTACGCCATCGGAAAAAAAATTGTATATACGGGGTGTATTATTATACATGTCACTTGTAGCAAAACTATCAGCAATTTGTTTAGAATTATTTAGAGATGTGGTTAGTACTGGGAATGGTTGAATTACCTGTTTTCGAATTAATAAGACGCCAAAATTGGTTTGGATTATATATTATTTTTTTCAATATTATAATATATTTCGTTTTATTTTTATTTTTAATATTTGATCACAAACGTGGTTTTTAAGTAATCGATCAAAAACTGTGTTTGGCGCCCAACAATTGAAGGATAATAATTGATTTATAAAAAAATGTTATTCTTATTTTTTTAATTTGTTTTGACAAGAATAAGTCCTGAAAATTTCTCGCATTGTCGCTGTTACACCCCGTATAATAGAAACTACTACTCAGGGAGGATGCATTACATGTGAAGGGCGAGCGGATGCTGCCGAATTCGCGGATATACGAAGCGCGATGAAAGTCCTGTTATTCTCCGACCAAGAAATATGGGAAATAATGAAACTGCTGGCCGCTCTTCTCCACATCGGAAACATCAAATACAAAGCCACCGTCGTGGACAACCTAGACGCCACCGAAATTCCCGACCACACCAACGTCCACAGGGTGGCCAACCTCCTAGGCGTCCCTGCCCAACCCCTGATAGACGCACTGACTCAGAAAACTTTATTTGCTCACGGGGAAACCGTAGTTTCCACCCTCTCCAGGGACCAAAGCGTAGACGTAAGAGACGCCTTCGTAAAAGGCATCTACGGGAGACTGTTTATACTCATAGTGAGAAAAATCAACAATGCCATATACAAACCAAAGGAGCGCCAGAGGAGTTCCATCGGCGTTCTCGATATCTTCGGATTCGAAAATTTCAATCACAACAGCTTCGAGCAGTTCTGTATAAATTTCGCCAACGAAAATTTGCAACAGTTCTTCGTCAGGCATATTTTCAAACTTGAACAAGAAGAATACAACCTAGAGGGTATAAACTGGCAGCACATAGAATTCGTAGATAATCAAGATGCCTTGGACTTGATCGCAATTAAACAGTTGAACATCATGGCGTTAATAGACGAGGAGAGCAAGTTCCCCAAGGGCACTGACCAGACATTACTGGCTAAATTGCACAAACAACACGGAAGCCACAGAAATTATTTGAAGCCTAGATCTGATATTAACACAAGCTTTGGTCTCAACCATTTTGCCGGCGTAGTTTTCTACGACACACGAGGGTTTTTAGAAAAAAATCGAGACACACTAAGCGCCGACTTGTTACAACTAATCTCAATCAGTAACAACAAATTCTTGCAACAAATATTCGCCGACGACATCGGCATGGGTTCCGAAACTAGAAAACGAGCTCCAACTTTATCAACGCAGTTTAAAAAAAGTTTGGACTCACTCATGAGGACCCTGTCTAACTGCCAACCGTTCTTCATAAGATGTATCAAGCCAAACGAATTTAAAAAGCCGCTTATGTTCGACAGGAATCTATGCTGCAGGCAGTTGAGATATTCCGGAATGATGGAGACGATCAGGATAAGAAGAGCCGGTTACCCCATCAGACATAGCTTCTCAGAATTTGTGGAACGATACAGATTCCTTATATCTGGTATACCCCCTTCTCATAAGACTGACTGTAGGGCGGCCACCGCTAGGATATGCTCGGTGGTGTTGGGCAGGTCCGACTATCAACTCGGTCACAACAAGGTATTCTTAAAGGACGCTCACGACTTGTTCTTGGAGCAGGAAAGAGACAGGGTCCTGACCAAAAAAATACTCATTCTGCAAAGATCCATCCGTGGTTGGGTGTACAGGAGACGTTTCTTGAGATTGAAAGCCGCTACGATCATTATTCAGAAATACTGGAAAGGTTATCTGCAAAGACAAAAATACAAGAAGATGCGCGTTGGTTACATGAGGTTACAAGCGTTGATTCGTGCCAGGGTGCTGTCTCATCGCTTCAGGCATTTGAGGGGACACATAGTCGGTCTTCAAGCTCATTCTAGGGGGTATTTAGTAAGGAGAGAGTACGGACATAAGATGTGGGCAATTATCAAGATACAATCTCACGTCAGGAGGATGATAGCACAGAAGAAATACAGGAAAATTAAATTTGATCAGAAACATCACTTCGAAGCGCTTAGACTGAAAAAGAAGGAGGAGAGGGAACTGAAGGATGCTGGAAATAAGAGGGCCAAGGAGATTGCTGAGCAGCATTACAGGTAACAAATAAGTGTAGTTAATGTGTTAAGAATTTTGATATTTCCTAAAAATACTTTTTCATATCATAAGAACTTTTGATTTCAAATTTCCGCAATTTCAGAGAACGTATGTATCAGCTGGAGAGGAAAGAGATGGAACTGGAGATAGAAGAACGGAAAATGATGGAAGAAAAGAAAAATATAATCAACGAGGCAGCCAGGAAAGCCGATGAACCTGTAGATGACTCGAAACTCGTAGAAGCAATGTTCGACTTTCTACCGGATAGCTCTAGTGAAGCCCCAACGCCTGGTCGAGAAACTTCCGTTTTCAACGACTTACCATCACAACCTGCCGAAAATGAAATAATTAGTCCAATGGCCACAGCTTCAGATGATGAGGAAGACCTAAGCGAATTCAAATTCCAAAAATTTGCAGCTACGTATTTCCAAGGAAATGTTGGGCATCAGTATTCGAGAAAACCATTAAAACATCCTCTCTTGCCACTCCACACGCAGGGTGATCAATTGGTAAGTGTATGGGAAACAAAAAATATGTGAAAATTTATTTAATGCAAATTTTTAGGCAGCACAGGCGTTATGGATAACTATTCTCCGATTCACTGGGGATCTACCAGAACCAAGGTACCACACGATGGACAGAGACAATACTTCAGTTATGTCCAAAGTGACGGCGACACTTGGTCGTAACTTTATACGAAGCAAGGAGTTCCAAGAGGCTCAACTAATGGGCTTGGATCCAGATTCATTCCTCAAACAAAAACCTAGGTCTATAAGAAACAAACTCGTCTCCCTAACGCTTAAGCGTAAAAATAAACTCGGAGAAGACGTCAGGCGAAAACTTCAAGATGAAGAATATACTGCCGACAGTTATCAATCATGGCTCGAATCTAGACCGACCAGCAACTTGGAGAAGCTACACTTCATCATAGGTCACGGTATTCTACGCGCAGAGTTGAGGGATGAGATCTACTGCCAGATTTGTAAACAGTTAACCAACAATCCCTCGAAATCATCACATGCCAGAGGCTGGATACTCTTATCTTTATGCGTAGGATGTTTCGCACCTTCAGAGAAATTCGTGAGCTACTTAAGAGCGTTTATAAGGGAAGGACCACCTGGTTATGCGCCGTATTGCGAAGACCGACTAAAAAGAACTTTCAATAATGGCACAAGAAATCAACCACCGAGTTGGCTGGAGCTTCAAGCCACGAAATCGAAGAAACCAATCATGTTACCCATAACCTTCATGGACGGCAACACCAAAACTCTTTTAGCAGATTCCGCTACTACTGCCAGAGAACTCTGCAACCAGTTATCAGATAAAATCGGACTCAAAGACCAGTTCGGTTTCTCGTTGTACATAGCCCTCTTCGATAAGGTATCCTCCCTGGGAAGTGGCGGAGATCACGTTATGGACGCCATATCCCAATGCGAGCAGTACGCGAAGGAACAGGGAGCTCAGGAACGTAATGCGCCTTGGAGGTTGTTCTTCCGGAAAGAAATCTTCGCTCCCTGGCACGAACCAACCGAAGACCAAGTAGCGACGAATTTAATTTACCAACAAGTGGTGAGGGGTGTAAAATTCGGAGAGTACAGATGTGATAAAGAGGAAGACTTGGCCATGATAGCAGCTCAGCAGTATTTCATAGAATACAACTCTGACATGAACGTGGAGAGACTACTGACGTTGTTGCCGAATTATATCCCGGACTACTGCCTGACTGGTGTTGAGAAGGCGGTGGATAGATGGGCGGCGTTGGTAGTGCAGGCCTACAAGAAGAGCTACTACGTGAAAGAAAAGGTGCCGACTCTACGCGTCAAAGAAGACGTAGTCAGCTACGCTAAGTTCAAATGGCCTTTACTGTTCTCGAGGTTCTACGAGGCGTACCGAAACTCAGGACCGAATCTCCCCAAAAACGATGTGATAATAGCCGTAAATTGGACGGGAGTCTACGTAGTGGACGACCAAGAGCAAGTCCTCCTCGAGTTGTCCTTCCCTGAAATCACGACTGTCTCGAGTCAGAAGACCAACAAGGTGTTCACCCAAACCTTCAGTCTGAATACTGTAAGGGGGGAGGAGTTTACGTTCCAGAGCCCCAACGCCGAGGACATTAGGGATTTGGTGGTGTATTTCTTGGAGGGTTTGAAGAAGAGGTCCAAGTTCGTGATCGCCTTGCAGGATTATAAAGCTCCTGGGGAAGGATCGAGTTTTTTAACTTTTATGAAGGGAGACTTGATCATTTTGGAGGAAGACAGCACCGGAGAGACTGTTTTGAACTCTGGGTGGTGTGTCGGGAGGTGCGAAAGGACGCAAGAGAAGGGAGATTTCCCGGCAGAAACGGTTTACGTGCTGCCTTGTATGTCTAAACCTCCGGCGGATATTCTTCAACTGTTCTCTGTAGAAGGTAAGATTCGAAAGAGCTACAAACTGTGTAACTGAAACTGATAACTGTATCAGAAACAATACCTAACTAAATGTTCGTAACCAACACATTTCATCAATTTTCAAAGCTCTTTTAACCATGTAATATTTTATACATCATATTTCTTTTTAAAAGGATTATGATTTTACAATTAGAACATGTACCATACATTAAAAACAAATTAATTCCAAATGCAAACGTTCATAAAAAATTTACAGTAAATGATGAAAATATTTCTTAAATTTGACTGATAAATATAGAGCCTTCATAAATGTTTACAAATCACGTGATCCCCGAGCTTTGGCAACCCAACAGTGCACGACTGGTAGTGGTAACGAAAGTTCCGTAAATCTTGGCGTCACCATAATTAATTATTCGTTTACAATGAATAATGACAAACCGTTACGTCTACGCTCGAGATTGAATAAAATCTATCGCCAGTAGGTGAAACAAAATGTTGTATTTTAATGTAATCTTAACCGTAATGTTTGATTTTTACCGAAAATTTGCCAATGTGAAGGAAATAAAATTACTGTTCCAAACAGAATTACTGGTCACGTGGCTTGTAATCATTTATGAAAGCTCTGTAGCAGGTACAGATTTCAGATCCCACACTATGTCATTATTTATACAAATTGAAAAAGTCTTTGAAATTATTTACTTAGAATAACAAATTTCTTTTACATATTTACACAAAAACAACAGCCATCCACATTAACAGAGCTTAATCTCAGAAACGTGCGGGAGTAATGGATAAAATTGTTTTGGTATTCACAACTTACCAACACCATCACAATTTATCAAAAAAATAAGAGATGTATAATGGAATCAAACAAATATCGACCTCAAACATTGTGTTTTTGAAATACTTATAACGAGCGTTCAAATAAAAACGTGGTCGAAGTTGGCTCTGACACATTGGACGTAGGGAGTAGCTTATAGCGACCAACTTAACCTCATTTCTCAACGAGCTGTATAGCAGCTGTCAGTTTCAATAACGTTAATGATTATATAACTTTATTTTAAAGAATAATCGTGATAACAATAACAAACAATTAAAGGAGCTGCGGAAAGTGTCCCCCTCCTTGTTATAACAATAAATTAAAGCAGCTGCTGAAAGTGTCCCCCTCCTTGTTCCAAGCACTTTTCACACCTGTTCCTCAAAGAATTAAAGACATTTTCTAAGATGCTCGGGGTATTGTTAATTTCACGAATCTTGTCTATAAGTCGAGCCTGCAGATAGTTTAAATCAGGAATAGGCAGTTCAAAAATAGTGTTTTTAAGGTAAGGCCACAAAAAGAAATCACACGGCGTAATATCACATGACCTCGGTGGAAATTCATGTTCAGCATTGAGACTTATTAGTCGATTTTGGAAAACTTCCCTCAACATATTCATCGTCTCGCCTGCCGTATGTGCCCTTGCGCCATCTTGTTGAAAGTAAAACTTTGTAATTTCGTTTTCTTCCAGCTGGTTAACAAAAGGAGCGATAATTTCTTCTCTATACCTTTGCGCATTAAGAGTACCATTAAAAAAATAGGTCCATAAATCCTCCTTCGATTGAGAGCACACCAAACTCCAATATTTTGAGCGTGTAGAGGGCCCTCGACACAAAAGTTATCTGTTTTTTCAGAAGACCACATTCTCATATTCTGTGAGTTTACGTAACCACTTAAATGAAACCAGGCTTCATCAGAAAAAAAGGTGATATTATGAAGTTCACCGTAGTTGTTTAAAAACCATTCACAAAATACAGCCAGTCGCGGAAATTCAACTTCATAAAGTTCTTGCTGACAAGTTAAACGATAGGAGAACAAACGCAAATCTTTTTTTAACACTGTGTGGCAGGTACCGACTGATATTCCCACCATTGGTGATAAAACACGTACAGAAGTTCTTGGCGCATTTTCCATTATTTGTTGGACATTTTCTTTTAATTCCTCAGTCCGCTTTTTAGGTCGGCCGCTTCCTTCTTTTCTTGTTACACTGCCCGTTTAACGAAAAACATTAACACAACGCTGAACTGCACTTTGAAAAATTTTGTACTCAACAACGCCGGGAAATTGATTTTGAAATTCTATGAAACATTCCTCAATAGAATACTTCCATATTCCATCAATCTTGCGTCCATTTCTAAAGTAGGACTCTATGATAAACACTTTTTGTTCTTGAGAAAACACCATTTTAAACGCTTTTTAAAACGAAAATATTCAAATTGATAGCGGCGATATAGCGCTTTGACAGATGACGTTTAAGTTCATTTGCTGTACGCTACGCCCTACGTCCAAATTTTCAGAACTAACTTGACCACGTTTTTATTTGAACGCTCGTTACAATGTGGCTACGATTTAGGTGACACAGGCCTATAATTCAGGTGTTAATTGACGAATCCTTTTCAAATTTTAACCACTTATGCAGACCGATGGGGTGCACATTTGAGGATCATTGAAATTACATATATCCACAGCTGTGCGTGAGGGGAAATTAAAAGGGGATCGATTTTTTTGGTATTTTTTATTAGCGAATAAAATACGGAAATGCTGATGCCTTAGTCTTAATCAGTATCATCAAAAATATACTCACGGCAAGTTTCATCCAAATCGTATACAGGGTTGTACAGAAAATCCATTTAATACAAATGTAAATAAGCTAATACAGACGGGATAACAAAAAAAAAATAGGTATAACAAAACTTAGTTTATTTTCTTAACTTCAATGTAGCCGCCATCACTCCTTATACATTCTTCTGTTACCTTTCTTATACGACGATTTACTTTTCGTAGTTGTTCACGAAAAATGTTTCGGGATGCCTCTCTTATTCGTCGTTTTAAATCTTCTATGTTTTGTGGACGATTGATGTAAACTTTATTTTTAAATTTACCCCAAAAATAAAAATCCATTGGTGTAAGATCAGGAGACCTGGCTGGCCAGTCCTGCAGCGGGCTACGAGACCCTATCCACTTTAATGGAAAATTAGTATTCAGCCAGTTTCTAATTATTCGCGAAATATGTGCATGTGTATCATTAAAAATCCTGCACCAAACATTCACTTTATAAACGTGCTGATTCTTAGCATTTATTATCCACCTGGGATTGTCTCTTTCCCAATATCGAGAGTTCTGCGTCGATACAACACCATTTGTAGAAAAAGTAGCTTTATCGCTAAAAAATTTTTTTTTCAAAAAATTTCTGTCGTTCAAAAATTCGCCTTGCACCCGGAAAGCATAGTCTAGCCTTCTTAAATTGTCTCCTTCTACTCCTTCTAAAAGAGTGTGTAAAATTTCTGGTTTAAAGGGCTTCAATTTATTCTTTTTTAGACATTTTCTTATGGTCTCTTTGTTTAAATTCAAATTCAATGCCGCCTGTTTTATGCTTAGTCGTGGATTATTTCGGAAAGCATCTAAAATCCTATTTTCGTGTAAGTTTGCGCGTTGGTATTCTTTTGGTCTTACATGTGATACACTACCAGTCTGAGTAAATATTTTATTAATTCGTGCCACTGTATTGTAACTTACTGTTCGATTGGGATGACGGTGAGTAAAAATTCTTGCCGATTCACGCGATATAACACTTTCTCCAGAAATTCTTATTATTTCAATTTTGTCAGCAACTGATATAATTTCTGCATCGCTGATGTTTTTTTGCAATAAATTATTTTTAAACTCAGAATTTTAATAACAATCTTGTTGACGTGTTATGTCAAAACAACTAAAAATTATAAATGTCATTTCATTTAAACAAAATAATTTGGCATGGATCACTGGATTTCGCATTACTGTGTGGATACAAGATGTAATGTTATTTTTTGTATTAAATGAATTTTCTGTACAACCCTGTATACGATTTGTAGTGGCTATATTTTCGATGATACTAATTAAGACTAAGGCATCAGCATTTCCAAAAAGGCTTGCATCATCACCAAATTCAAGATGGCTGATACAAAATGGCCGATATATCACGTTAATTTATTGAATCTAATTGAAATTTCGAGTGTCTCTGGTATTGAGATCGCGTAAAACGTATGTAAGGTCGCAGTTTGAGGTTTTTGAGGTAATTAATTATTATTAATAAAGTACGAAAGGTAAATATCTGCGATATAAGGCATGTATTTGGAATTAATTCCTCATTTCGAACGAAACAATTTCTAAATACTACTGAAGCTTATTCTTGTTATAAAGCTTATTCTAATTATTTAACTAATTCTTGACACATGAGTCATTCGCATCGTCATCATCTGTCACATAACCGTCTGAGCATGAAAACATTATCACCATAGCTTCAGTTGAAAAGCTTTTCTCATTTTCATCTATCTTGCACCTTTTTATAAAATGTTGATCTAAAATGGTGATTTGCGTTTTTAAATTATCTTGGAATTTTCCTTTCAAAAATCGAAAAATTTATTTTTCGTGTACGTAATTTTACTGGTACCTGATCCTGACGAAAATGATAAATTATGAATTGAAAGATAATAATAATAATAATAATATAATAATGCTTTATTGCCCAACAGATTCCCATTTACAGGGCAATTTACAAAATAATACAACTAAGTAAACATAAACAAAGACCATGAAAAAAAGAGAAGAAAAGGGAAAAAAATGCAAAACACATAAGCAGACATATGCCTATAGAAGTGCGTTTGCATTACAGTATTACATATTTACATACAGAAGACATAGTATTCATCGCCTTACGGCATTCAATAAAGTATGTAATGGACAAAAAAATATATCACAAAGGTTACACAAACGATTAAAATTATCACACATGACATAAACTGGCGATTTATATAAGATGTTAGTATTTGGCGTTGCAAGTCTAAACGTATTAGTATTTCTTAGATTTATTCTAGGCACGGAAAAATTAATAGCAGCAAGCAAATCAGCACAGTCAATGGTGTTGTGCAGTAGCTTATACAAAAATGTGATTGACATGCGAATTCTACGAGAATCTAGAGTATCAACGCCAAATCTACTTGTTAA